TTCTGAGGTCGTCCCGAATGTAGGATGCTGTCATGACTCTCCGGTCATGATTTGGGGTAAGCACATTGACCGCCACACGTCCTATTAGTCATTAACGATCGATATTTGGAATTTGAAAGTACCGCCAACAAACCATTCCAACAAGACATTCTAAAGGACCGCCCTCTCGCCTCATTATATATACCGCCCTCTTCTGGGGGGTATAAAGACGGCCTCCTGAACGGCGGAGCCAGTCTTCGCTCCTTCATTTTTCCTCTCGAGTATTCTCAATCTCCTTCTCACTCTCCCTCCGAGGCCCGGCCCCAACAAGCGACTACGGTCGCACCTTGACGCTCTCACTTCGACGCCAGCTTGACACCTACACCGCAGTGGACTTACGCCAGTCGGACTCGCCACCTACAACACTAAATACGCTAGTAGACGACAATGAAACAATTAGCACGATGGTTGACGACTGAGACACAGCATAATACAAATACATCAACAACTCTCTTTGTATAAATTTATTTTGTATATTCGTGTGTGTTGTAGTTAGTTAATAAATGATTTATTTAACAAACTGTTCACTACCACTGAATCAAAACATGGTGCATCGGCCAAAATAATTATTAACACGTACAACAATACACAGCACAATAACAACAGAGTACTGCGACCCTACTACGAAACCTACATCACCATAAAAAAGACAACAAAAGTATTACAAAACAATTTCCTAACGAGTCAGACTTCCTTTAATGATTTAAGATCTGCAACGAGAACGAGGCTCACAAACCAACGGCACCACGATGGAAATACACCTAACAACAAATTGAGATTAATTAGACCCACGAGAGAGACAAATAATACATTAACTAACTATGACAACTCCAACTCCACACCAATAAACCCACTTACTCACTCGACAATGAAGAGAAAGGAGACTCAGTCCCAATCGTGTTTCGTATTATGATCTCAGTCGGCCGACACGTCTTCCTTTTCAACCACGAAGCACGATGAACGATCTCAGATATCTGAAATGATCTCGTTAGATTACTAGTATTGATAAAACGCAAAAAAAAAAAAAAAAAGGTCTGAATACCCCCATTGTACATAAAACCACTCCATATGGCCATCTTAAAACCACCAAGAGCGCTCTTTAACTAAAAAACCCTCGCTGTCGAAATCAAGAATTAAATTTTCTTGAGTTCCCCAGCGGGAGTTTAACACCTTAAAAACCGCGGTAAACCAAACGAGTGACACTTGCAGGGACACTCAAAGTAACTACGAAAAAAAACAACCCGGGAAACACAGCTAATATAAGTACAAAATAAGCACGGAGCACGAAAAATATATAATGAAGAAACTTCTGCGCAGCAAATAATCCAATGGAGCCATGAAACCGGAAATCAAAATCCAGGGACATGTCCACGCAAACGGAATGATGACTAAATCTAGAGTCGCCACATGAAAAAGATGAACAATAGATTAAGTACATGCCAAAGATACGACGAATTAACAACCGAATCTTGGAAAGGCCGACCTGTTTACTCTGTTCACATCTGACTGTATTCTGCGGATCCGCTCATTCTGCTCCGAATGATATGCTCCGATTGGCTCCATCGACCTTCACGACGGCGACTCCATAAACGTGAGTATTCTTCAGATCATGATCTTTAAGATAAAACGCACAATTTCAATGATCAGAGGGCCTTCTTTGGCGATATGTAGCCCAGACACGCCACCAATTTCTGCAAAACTGAAAAACAAATGCGCCTGAGAACTTTTGGGCGACCATAGGTCACTCTTCCGACCATTGAGTCACGCTTGACTAATACACTCGTCCCACTTTTATACGTTTTGCCAAAAAGTTGAGGTGGAATCCTTTTTTCACAAGTATAGCGACGCACATATTCAACACACATTTCGATTCTAGAACTTCTCTCACAAAACTTTCCAAAAAAGTTGAACATAATCTCACCATAAGCAATTCCAGAATACCGTTATGAATAACTTACGAGTAATCTCTCACGAAACACATTCAACAAATCACTTCCACATCCAATTTGACTTGATTTCACTGCAAGAGTGTCATAAAGTAGAGTGCATAATATATAATTATGATGCCATTTCAAAACACCACATGATATGGAACATTCAAAATAAATAAATTTTTGACTCCTCAGGTCAATCACCAGTATTACCTTCACAACATCAGGAATATACACCTCCATCGACATCAACGACACTTGATAAATGACCGCCTGTACCAATGGCACATGCCAAGAACAACGCAGAAATCCCAACACTGAAGAAACACAAGACCTTAAATAAGGGAGCAATTTTATTTAAAGTGATTCCATACAAGTTCAGATTACTCACAACTATAATACACGAAAAAGCCAACACCTTAACGATGAAAATCAACGAAGAACAACATGTTACACCAAAATATGAGGCAAGGCCAGGAAAATCGTCTGATTGAATGCGAACTGTAAACCTAGCCACGTAGCTAAAGGCTCACAACCGACTTAGTCAATTTACAGACACAACCCACCTCTTGCAAACTCGCCGTTGAAATATCTAGAATTTCAGTTCTCTTACACAACCTCAGCGAAACCACCTCTTTAAAAGTGAAGTGCTCGTAACAATATCTCTTTTACAAATTCGTAAGCACCCCTTACCTTATCCTCATTGATCCCGTCATCCCAAATTTGAGAAAAAAGAGCAGAATAGATACCACCATACGTAACCGTTACCGTAACCATGTTCTGCGGCAGCAGAATAGATACCACCATACGTAACCGTTACCGTAGCCATGTTCTGCGGCCTCCATTATCGCTACACTGTTTCCGCAAGAGCACTCTCCACCTGATTCACGCTCTCTGAGACGCGAATTCTCCACAATGAACACACACTCTCTACACAACATTTGCGAGCGAGCGATCCCCCTGCTTAATCACTCAGCCAACCAGCATCAATCAGTCGATTGCTCCTGAGCAAAGAACGTACATTAGCAAATTCCAACGATCGCGTACCCTCCACTAGCGCACACTCTCTAGCGTACCTCTGTCCCCTCCCCAAACACACACTCTCTACACAACACTCGCGAGGGAGCGATCCCCCGTTCAATGAATCAGCCAGCCAACATCACTCAGCCGATTGCTCCTGAGCAAAGAACGCACACAAGCAGCGCTAATTGCAACAATCACATACCCTCCACACTTCACACACTCTCATACGCACACGCATATTCTCCGCCGGCTGGCACTATTTCTGCACGCGCATCTCAAGCGACTGTCCACACGTGAACGTTCTCTGTGGGCGAGTACTTGTGCACCCTCAACACGCATAGATTCCACAACTTGCGCGGATGGCACTATTCATTCCAAAGGAAACAGACAACCAAACATAACTAGTGGATAAGGAAAGGTGTAGAAGAAAACATGTCATTCATATACACATACACATTACATGTATTTTCCATAAATGAAGTACCAAGGACCTCCGCAAGTAACTCCACCAACTTGAGCAAATTTCTAAAACGAATAGAGGGCCACTTGAATTTCAATGGAACACACTTTACACTAATCAATACTAGCCTTTCCTGTGGAGCTCGGCAATCCAGGCACCGTTCCCATGAAACCGCAAAAGGTCATCACAACACCGGAGCCCATATGCAGAGCCTTTTACAATTTTACAATCTTATCACCGAAGCGATCTGCTCAACCCCTATATAAGGAAGCCAAGACAACATAACCAACAGCTTCCACTTACACAGACGCTTACAGACTTTGAACCTCTCTCCTCTCTTTCCCTTAACATCCTTCATTGATCTCTACTAACACCAACACTCAAAAGCCAATACGAAGACCCCAAGAGAATAACCATCAAATGATCCGTCAACTCAAATCAATGAAAGCATGTCACGACGACCCGCGTACTCTGCGAAACAACTTGAGCGATGTGCAGGCTATAATAACTACCATACAAAAACAAGGAGAAGTAATTGACTCCACATATATGACAACTATGGTAATCGAAACATTCCCCAAAAGCATTCAAGAAGAAATCGCCGAAAAGAATTTGACAAGTGGTACAGAGTGGACTATGAACGATCTCATTGACAATTTGACAAACATTGTCAAACGTAAGGAACATCTCGAGAGCCGTAACGAACACTTACGCGAACAACATTCTCTTTTCCACACACGAACAAGCGAGCCCCTTCAGCTACAGTGCATTGGCTGCGGCCGCCCTCATAAGTTTGATACATGCTACAAATTTCAAACTATTCAGCAAAAAATTAATCATCTAAAAACTTTAAACGTGTGCTGGAAGTGTTTCAATACACAACACAGAACAATATTCTGTAACAAACCTAACTGCACACACTGTGGCGGCCTCCATAACCCCATCATATGCTTACGCTTACCATCCGCAACGACAAGATCTTTCCGATATCCTGCAGGAATTCACAAACATTTCGGACACAGATCAACAACCCTGAATGACTACGCTACGCAACATCCTCCGAAGCTTTACAGACCACAACGGAATTCCGCCTGGCGCCCCCTTACACCGGACGATGCCCTGAGCAATACCAACATACAACAACTAGACAGAAGCAACCAGCCAGCAATCACACACGCTCCACGCAACAGTAACTCCATACGAAGACAAAACCAACGCTCTCCCATGAATAAAGTTAGATACGCCCCCTTGCCGTATATTCCAACCGCTACTCACATTAGTTTTCAGTCACATAGCGGTCATCAACCAGAAATGAAAACACGCTTTTCTAACTGCAATAAAACGAATATACACGCCCGCCTAATGGTCGTGCCTTTGATAGCCAGAAATGACCACACTAATAAAGAAGAACAAGTTTACGCCCTCTCTAGATTCCGCTTCGGATCAATCATTTATTACATTATCATTAGCAGAACGCCTACACCTCGCGCCTCACTCCGAAAACACCATCATTGTAAACACATTCGGGGGACGTGCAGAGAAAAAACATGTCAGGTTTGTCGAAACCTTGTTGCTCAACTCTCATGGACAATCCTTACATGTTAGATTGCTTACCACAGATACCATCACAAATGTCTTAACCATAATAGAGCTACAACCAGAAGATAAACATTTCTTGGAAGAAAATTTCTCTACTCCTCCAGAGGTGATACAAGATTCAAGAACAGAAGTCGTTCCCGACATCCTTTTGGGAATAGACTACTTTAACACCATATTACTAGTACATGAACCCACACTAAGATTACCTTCAGGATTATTCATGACATTCTTACACAATAAATACAATAAATACAATACACAACACAGGGCTCTTACGGGCAACCCAACATGGACTACTCCGACCTGTGGAAACTTCCAGGGATTGGCATCGACGAACTCCAAACAAATGAAGAACTTAACAAACAAATAATAGCAAATTTTTATTCAACCGTGCAACTTAAAAACGGGAAAATCTATATACAATTTCCTTGGAAGTCAAACAAACACTGCTTAGCCGACAATTACAACCTAGCACTGAGCCGACTCCATCAATTATGTAAAATGAGAATCAAGAATCCCGAATGCTGGGAAGAATACTGCAACATAATTCAAGAACAAAAGACAAACACTTTATCGAAGAAGCACCTCATGTAACAAAGCTGATTAACCCCTTGTATTACATACCCCATCAGGCCGTAATAAAAGCAACAAGTGTAACAACAAAAACTCGAATTGTCCTAGACGCTTCCTCCAAAATGAAGGGACAATTAAGTCTGAATGATGTGATTCACCAAGGACCACTAATTCTACCAAATTTATGTGGCATACTACTGCGAGCCCGACTTGGTCCGAAGATAATGATCGCCGACGTTGAAAAGGCATTCCACATGATATACCTACAAGAATCTGAACGTGATTCAGTAAGATTCTTATGGCTCAAAAACGCAGCTTTACCACCCACACCAAAAATATACAAATTCTTCGACTTCTGTCGTCTACCCTTCGGCATTAACGCTTCACCATTCCTTCTCGGGATATCCATACAATACGGAATCGAGCAACAGAAACAACAGAATACCACAATCACGCAACGCTTGGTTGAAAACCTATACGTGGACAATGTCCTCATGCTTGACAATTCGACGCAATCTCTTCTTCAACATATCATACATGCAAGAAGATATTTGCGAACATGTCAATGAATCTTCGCCATTCATCACGAACGACGAAATTTGTAACAAGTCGATCGATGAGAAAGATAAATTAACCGCAGCATCAACCAAAATCTTAGGCATTCCTTGGGATCACTCATCTGATACCCTCTCCATTTTGTGTAAACTGAGCTATATATCACAACCAACTAAACGAAAAATATTACAAGCAACGCACTCAACCTTCGACCCACTAGGATTCCTCACACCGCTACTGTTACCTGCCAAAATCCTCCTACAAGATCTGTGGAAACAGCACCACAACTGGGATGAACTCCTACCAGAAACATACGACAAGGCATGGAAAACAATATGCGAGCAGACCGACGGGTTTCATTTTGAATCTCCCACGTACAATATTGAGCAATTACGAAAACACTCAATACGAACTCCACACCTTTGTTGACGCATCGGCAAGAGCTTATGCGACCGTCGCATACCTGCGCTTAATAAGCCATCAAGGAAAAATTACAAGCGCAATTGTAATGGCCCGACAGCGTTTGGCACCGATTAATGCGAAAACAATGACAATTCCACGATTAGAACTCTTGGCACTTCTCATAGGAGTGAGACTTACAAACTTTTTGTTAAAAGAACTTAAATTAAATATCACAACCACCAGAATCTATAGCGATTCACAGGTAGCCCTGCATTGGGTGCAATCCCAAACGAAAAACGGAGTATTCGTGGACAATCGTGCACGGAAATCAGAGGAAAAATACAATCATGGTGAATGAGCACTCAATACTGAGCCACTTGCATTATGTTCCTTCCGACATTAATCCAGCAGACTACGCAACAAAAGGACTCACGAAAGACCAAATTCAGCATCAGCCTCTTTGGTGGTATGGTCCACCCTTTCTGAAAGACGACATTTCAAAATGGCCTTCACTTACTAGAATTTTCTTGGCAGACCAAAGACGATAATCATCCCGAAAGAGAAGTCCAAGCAGAATCTACAACTTTGCTCAACACCTCACTCCAGCAATTGTCCTCCGCTTTATTGACGAAATTTTCCAACCTCAAAATGTTACGGCACATAACAGTCATTATTTTGACGTTTCTCAAACTCCATGTTTATGACAAGACTTCCGAAAGATACTCAAAGAATCTTAGATACAAAGTTACCAGAGCTCACAAAAATCACAGCGACCAAACCCGTGACGCTTCTTCACGCTCAAGATGTAGAAGTAGCAGATCAACTTTTAATCAAACTCATGCAACGCTACTTGACAAAGAACAATAGACGCAAGTGGGACTATTTAGGACTATACAAAGACGAAAACGATCTCCTTCGATGCCGAGGTCGCTTAAAAGCTAAATACCTCACGAGAGACATTCGAGAACCAATTCTCCTTCTCCCAGACCAACACTTAACTACTCTCATAATCCAAGACACTCACGAACGCTGCGGCCACCAAGCGTTAACGGAACCCTCGCTAATTTGCGCCTTATGTACTGGATACCGAAAGGGAGACAAATAGTACGGAAATGCTTGCAAAATGCCTTTCATGCAAGCGATGGAATGGCAAACCATACTACTATCCAGCCTTTCCACCGCTGCCGTCTGCACGGGTACAACCAACGAGACCCTTTTCTCACATTGGTATAGACCTGGCCGGTCCCTATCAAGTAACCGACTCTGGAAACAACAAAAACAAAAGATGGATATGCCTCATTACTTGCATGACTACACGAGCGGTTCATCTGGAAATAGTCAACGACTTGACTGCACTTCAGCTAATCCACGTCCTACGACGATTCATCTCCCGTCGAGGACGACCCCAACTTATTATCTCTGATAACGCAACCAATTTCAAACTCGCCAACGATGTTATAACCACTACCACTGACGAACCTCCCTCTCAAAACGCCACGTTACGAAATTTCCTAGCTAATGAGAAGATACATTGGAAATTCATAACGCCTCTCTCCCCTTGGAAAGGAGGTTTTTACGAACGTATGATCGGCATCATGAAATCAACCTTAAAACGAGTATTGACACGAAAAACGCTCAATGACACCGATTTCAACACGACGGTAACGAATGCGAGGCAATGGTCAATTCAAGACCTTTGGCGTACACAGGAAGCACGATAGACGACTCCCTGATAATCCGCCCGATAGACTTCCTCGTTCCCAACACCAACCTTACTCCATTCACTGCAATTAACATTGAAACAGATAATAACGATTCGGTTTACGTCCCGCATCTGTCCACAAAAGACCTAGCAACGCACATTTTCCACAAACACCTAAAATACTTAAAACATTTGTGGGCACTTTGGACGACGTCCTATCTCCTTGAACTACGAAATTTCCACCAACTCCGAATAAAGCAAAAAGAGTTTTACAAGAAAACAGCCACAAATTGGGGAAGTAGTTCTCATTATGGACGAGGACTTACCCCGTACAGACTGGCCACTAGGATTCGTCACAAACCTGGTTCAAGACCAAGACGGCATCGTGAGATCCGCGAAGCTACGAACCGCGACATCACACCTCGAACGTTCAATTAATATGGTCATTCCTCTCGAACTAAACGAAGAAGCTACACCACCATTTCAAAACAATGTATCAGGCACCGACAAGGTTGATGACAATCACACGAACGGAAGCAGTTGCGGTCGTCTTTTTCCTCCCGAACCGCCAAAAACGGACACGACAATAGGTTCACGATCACGACCGTTTCTTCCTCGCAGTGCAAAAGCAAACAAATCCTACAGTAACCAGCTCACGACGACCACTACCAAACCTTTGCCGCCGATATTCGGTTGTCCAGTATCATGGAAACACTGGCTCACGATAGCATTAGCGATAATTTTATCCCAACCTACACATTCCTTGCCAAATCAGAAGACAAGCTTACAATGCATTACAGGAGGAATTAAAATACAAATGTTACAACAAGCAGAACAAGTACAAGTTTGTGGGAACGAATACTGCATTGAGATAAAACAACCTGATCAAACAATGAATGTTCAATTTCCTCCCGAAATTACACTCCATACGTACCATATCACTTTAAAAGCGTTGATAGGGAACGAAACTCAAGCAACACACTGGGCATGCCCTCCAAGCCCGTTTTGTGAACAAATTCAATGTAATTTCTGCACAGAAATGATCTCAAACCCTGAATGCTGGCCAAGGATCGCAATAGCCGTCACTGCAACATTACTTCTATATCATCGCGATAACTGCTTACATTAGCTTCACATTGCTCCGCAAGGTCCTTCGCCTATGCTCATGTACTTGTTCCAAAATAAATTACATTTTTCCCTTCCTTCCTTTCCGGTATCGTAAGAAGACCTCCAACCAAGATTGGAGCGATGACATACCACTTTTGACGATTGACAATACTAACACCTAAATGGAAAACGACAACAATGCTGCGGCTCATCACCATCCTCACCATTGCCATTCCTCTCACCTCCAGCTGCCAACAAACTGTACTCATACCTTCCACCGTATTTCAGTGCAACCCACTGGATAAAAGTTGCGGCAATAAAACAACTATAATCACAGAACTTAACCCGATGCAGCCGGAGGTCTGTATTCCAATTAAACACGGCAACCAACAACTACATGTAATGCGTATTACACTCAAAGCATTAATTCTTAGATGTCGCAAAGAAACCCTTTATTATACAAGAAACACTATCACAAACGTTCGATACCAAAAGCGCTGCCCAGGTATGGGCACATGTAAAGATCTCAAATGCGCTAAAATTAGCTATGATACCTACGTTGAAGAACTGAATGAAGCCAACAATTACACTGGTATAACTTACTGTTCAGAATCCTGCGGTTGGCTCGGGTGTTCATGCGGTTTCCCTTCATCAGGATGCCTCTTCTACAGAATTTATCACCTCCCAACCGACAACAATGTTTACGAAGGACAATTTCCCTCCACATACAAGCCAATGGGGTTAGACAAATATCTCAAACATTTGAACTGAAGCCATATACCAAAAAACAAACTGCTAACACAACCTTAGATACATCCTTTTCTTTCACGCCGATATCATTCCTTCACCAACGATTCCTTACCAACAATCGAATCACAGCTTATATTAGACAAGACACAGAATTTAGCTATGCATGCAATTCACGACCACAACACGAACAGAATACACCTCATAATTGTATTATAAAAGATACATGTAAATGTAACCCGCTGAAAACTCGTCAACTGCTACTGTACAAACAACAACATTTCACAATTCACACAACTTTCAAACACTCTACCCCTACCTCTACCAAGTGGTTTGATAACCACAGAAGGACTGAATAATATTCCCACAATAAGAACAAGTGCAACATCAGTAGAATTACTGCTCCTGCTAGACAAAAATACCTACAATATTGTTCAGGAGATAGACAACTTTCAATGTCACATTCTCCCTCACCAGCTGCTTGGCTGTTACAGCTGCGCTAAGGGCGCCAGTAGTTACAATTTTTCTGTGAATCGAACAATGCAGATTCCACCGCACAAGTAACTTGTGGCCAACAACAATTCACTCTAACTTGCACAAAAACTGGAACATACAATGATGTGCTCCTATTTTTCAACAAAGCACGAATACACGAACTTTGCAAGGCACAATGCGGTTCACACGTAACCATATTTCGAAATCAAAGGCACTCTCAATTACATAAATGGGATCAAACCCCTATGGAATTACATCCACTTATGGAGCAACAACACAACACAACAATAATCCTCCTTCACAATCGACCTTGCCCTTCCAGATTTCTCTCACTTTCTAGCAACCTGTAAGCAGTTTCTAATTTATTCTTTAACAGTTTTTATAACTCTTATCACCGCTCTCATGCTCACTCGCTCTTTCCTCTGCTCACAAGACACTCCGTCAAACCCAAGACAAACATCACGTCGTCATCTTCCTCTCACTCTTTTTCCTCCCCTCCGACTACTCTTCCTTTTTATCAGCATCTTTAAACGACTTCTCTCTATCATAGTTTTCATCATCCGCTTTCCTCTTCCGACTTCTGGCAACGTCAAAACTCGTCAACCATTAACAATCTACGGACTCTTCATCCCCACTTCCACTTCAACAACGACACCTCGTCACCATCACGCAACAGCTCCCGATCCAGCCCTCCGCCAAGCCCCCACTCATCCTCGTCAAAGAAGGTCAGAACGACAAACGACTTCATGTGATCATTTTTTTACCGTAGAATTGTATAGTTTGATTGCCTCCCGTAGAATTGTATAGTATTTTCCCTTTTTTTTCGGTATGTTTTTCAGGTCATATGTCGTATGTGCACTATGCTATGTATTTCTCTATTTACAGCAAACAAAATTAACACACAACAAAACACGGCACTAAGTCCAATTCGGTGGCGGGGAGGATGCAAACGGCAAGTCTCCTGCGTTTTCATGACTCTTCGTCGTCGTGTGGAGTGTCATGACTCTCCAGTCATGATCTGGATCAACTACCAGATTCGCCACAGGTCTCGATCTACACAACCAATTAGTCATCTACAATCAATCTCTGAAATTCGAATTGCCGCCAACAACTACAATCCATTCCAACACGACGCAGCAACGGACCGCCTACTCGCCCCAGTATATATACCACCCCCCTTCGGGAGGTATAAAAGGTGCGCCTCGAATGGCGGAGGCAGTCTCGTCTATTTCATTTTCGTTTGGGTCTCTCTCTCATGTTTTCCTTTCTGGGCTTTGCCCCTCAACAAGCGACTACGGTCGCACTTGAGCACTCTCACGTACACAACCTTTTACAATCTTTACTCCAGCTCAATAACGACACCGCAGCGGACCTATGCCAGTCGGACTCGCCACCTTCACGATCTCACTATGACACTCGAAACGAGTTGACACGATGCCTGACTAGTAGTAACGAGCAGTACAGATACGACAAGTTGCTTTGCTTTGTATTTAATTGTGTAT